AGTCCAAGAGGGCCTGGGAACCCCCAGGGAGGTGTTGGGGGGGGGGGGCTTGGGGAACCTCAAGAATGTTCCAATGGAGCTTGAGGACCATAGTAACCCTGTAGTAACTCTGTAGTAACCCCATTGTGACCTGTAGTTGTGCAGGAGCTGAGCTGGCAGCGCACCACCACACTGATCTTCAGCTATGTGCTATTGTAACCCTATAGTGACCTCATAGTAACCCCATAGTAACTATGTTGTAACTTGTAATTGTGTGGGAGCTGAGCCAGCAGCACAACGCGATGCTGCTCTTCGTTGTGCACCATTCTAACCTTATAGTAACCCTACAGTAACCTCATAGTAACCCCATAGTAACTGTGTTGTAACCTGTAAGCGTGTGGGAACTGAGCCAGCAGCACAACGCGATGCTGCTCTTCGTTGTGCACCATTCTAACCTTATAGTAACCCTACAGTAACCTCATAGTAACCCCATAGTAACTGTGTTGTAACCTGTAAGCGTGTGGGAACTGAGCCAGCAGCACAACGCGATGCTGCTCTTCGCTATGCACCAGTCTAACCCCTTAGTAACCCCTTAGTAACCCCTTAGTAAGGCCGTTGTAACCCGCAGGGGTACGGGAGCTGAGCCGGCGGCTGGTGATCGTGAACGGGGAGGACCCGCTGAGCAGGCAGGCCCAGCACAACGCCACGCTGCTCTTCAACGCCGCATGGCCGACGAGTTCCGCCTCAGCGGAGAGGCCTTCGACTGGCTCCTGGGCGAGATTGTGCGCCCGCCGCATGGCCGACGAGTTCCGCCTCAGCGGAGAGGCCTTCGACTGGCTCCTGGGCGAGATTGAGTCCAAGTTCAACCAGGCCATTGTGAGTGTGTCTGGGGGGCAGATCTGGGGGTCTAGAGGTGAGAGATGGGGGTCCAAGGTGTAGTTGTGGGCGTCTAAGGTATAGTTATGGGGATCTAAGGTGTAGATATAGGAGTCTAAGGGGTAGACAGAGGGGTCTAGAGATGAGATCTGGGGTCTAAGGGGTAGATAGAGGAGTCTAAGGTGTAGTTATGGGGGTCTAAGGGATAGATAGAGAGGTCTAGAGGTGAGATCTGGGGTCTAAGGTGTAGTTATGGGGTCTAGGGAGTAGATATAGGAGTCTTAGGGGTAGTTATGGGGGTCTAAAAGGTAGATATATGGGTCTAGAGGTGAGTATGGGGGTCTAGAGATGAGATCTGGGGGTTATAGAGAGCTCATTGACCCCCATTGTGTGTGTGTGTGTGTCCCAGGCCCACCCTGGGGAGATGGTGGGTGCTCTGGCCGCGCAGTCCCTGGGGGAACCGGCCACCCAGATGACCCTCAACACCTTCCACTACGCCGGGGTCTCGGCCAAGAACGTCACCCTGGGGGTC